ATGCAATATATGATATCAGATTACTGCAGCACCACATGGACAGAGATTCTTCAGGTTCATTGAAGCACTGATTAGATTTGGCATATCTGAGTGATCGGATGCATTTTTTAAAATATATAATATATACTGAATTGTCACAAACTGCCCCCCACCTCTTCCGATACATCTGGTCACCACTGAAAGAGTGGTGCACGTACCCGAAGCAAGGGGCTCTGTAGCGCTCCCTCTAGTGGAGGCCCTTCCACCAGCAGTGGCATGGGCAAGTACTTGCAGGGCTGAACCTCTACTTTTTAAAGAACACATAGGCATCAGCCAGTGTGCATTTAGTTGTGCATACATTATTTATTGTGGAGCTTGTGTTTGGCTGCGATTTTATTTATATATTTACTATTGTTTTGTCTGTCCCTATTGCTGATACACCACTGCCTTCAGGGCCATGATACGGCTGTGAATTTAAGATTGTTTACAGTCATGGTGTTCACAGTGTGGCTGACATGCAAAACTAATTTTTTAAACTTGCAAGTGTAAAACTTTATCTTCTCCCCTCCACATAAATGTACATTCGCGTCCGTCATAGTAACAAGGCTTGGTGGTGAAGAGTCATGAAATAGTGGCAGGGCTAACATGCACAACTACTGCAATGATTCACAATTAGTTTATCTTGCGTTAGATCATCATGTAGGTATAATGCCAATGTTTAACTATATCCCTCTACCACATGACAAAGACAATCCAATCAAGTTGTCACGTGGACACGTGGATGCCAATTAATTTGATTTATTAGCAAAATCGGAATATCTTCGATGGTCAGAGTACAGGTTCCTTTGGAAGTAACACAATGGACTCTAGATGAAGCCTTGCATTTCCAGACACAGCATTCACTGGGCTGCTCACAAGAAGGTCTAGTTGATATTACAGCCTCTAGTGCCAAGCGGCACCCTTCTACCTACTGCCAGATCCTGCAGCAGGAGATGCATGACCTTCAATATCTGCCCTAACAGTGTCTCACCATCTGGTCTTAGGTCTTCCCCTGGGTCGACAGATTCATGGAGACCGTTGTAATCTGCACTCTGTAGATCCATTTTGGAGGAATACAGTGATCTCCAAATAGGACGTGCACTTGCAGAGAGACAAATCACCGTGCTGGTCACAGCAATCTGGAATTGCACCTTTTATAAGCCCTACGAGTGAACAACATCACAGGGCTGATTCATGCCTTGGTAAAAAAGTCGAGGAGGAATGCCTCCATCACAGATGGAAACTGCAGAGGGGGATGGGGCATTCTGCAGCTATTCTGGGGCTAAAGAAAGGGCAATAAATCAATGCTGCTTGCATGAGCTGCAGGAAAGGAGTTTCTTCTATAATTAGGTGTAAGTCATTCTAAAACAGCTCGTCAGAATTCAATGGATTTTTACTGTAATAAAATATCACCATAGGGATGGAGTCATGCATCCATAATTAACTTGGCCACTTACTCAAGTATAACGCATTAATAAATAAATAGCAACTACTTCAAAGGACAATGAATTCTGGAAAGCAAAATACAGAAACCAGGGACCACAAGCCCGCAGGTGAAACGTCTTCATTTGCCAGAGGAACCGGAAACTCAGATTAATCGTGTAAAACTTCCCAAACCCGTGCCCCGGGTCAGAAACAGTTTGTGTGCGTCATGCGACGAAACCGCATGGACCATGCCAAATTCACACTGGGAGGGAGGCTGTGAAGGAATACTTTTATTTCTTTCATAACTTCCTGCCAAGACACAAATCCAGTGAAGTGTGTTTCAAGTGTTGTCTTGAGACCATTTACAGAAGCGATATACGTCTCAAAGTTCCAGTATAAGGCAGCAAGGTTGTGCATTGTGGTTGGATTCCAGCAACAATTTAAAAAGTATGTATATTTATATGTTTAGGTGTGATAACATTTTTAAAGTAAATGCACACCTAAAAATAGTGACACACACAAACTGGAATATTGAAACAGAAACTACACAAAGGCGTTATGTCTTATAGATACCCCACTAAATTATAGTGTCATTGAGTAAACATTTAAATATTTAAACACACTCCTCATGCCGTTTGTCTAAAATAGCCAGTTGGATTTGCATCCAACATTGAATGATGCGTAAAGTTGAAGTCATTAGAAACAAGGTCATTATACATTATTGGGTATCTATACATAGCTCAGCCTGGATATATGTCAATCGATTGAGATTAATGTGCCGCTTTGCCAATATACAAACATGAATCGAGCTTCGTAGGAACATACAAACAAAACAGACAACCTTACAGTATGAGACAATCTAGGTGTGGGAATTAAAAAAAATTTGGATCAAACATTTAAATGTCCTGACAGCAATCACACAACCGATATTGCTGCATGCTGTTTGTTCACGCACAACGGCCTTATTCAACATAAACACTCGATACAAGGGAAAACATCTTTTCACATTACGCTCAACAGGAACGAAAAGGATAAAGGACCTCAATGTGCTTAAGTCTGCTTGAGAATGAAATGGAAATCTGCCAAATTATTATTATTTAATTAGTATCATTATGATAATTGTATACACAGAAAAGCCCCACTGAGTCTCCTGACACTTTGAGGAGTGGCTCCTGCCAATGTAGTTTTTTTCAGTCGATGGCAATAATTGCGATGTACATTCCAATTGAATAATTTTGCGTGTGATTTTTTGTTATTTGGCAAATTTGGACCATGACGCTCAGGCACGCACTGACCCCCTCCTCTTGTGAATGACATAAAGGGATACACTGTGAAGTGGAGAGCGCATATCTAGAAGATTATGAATCCTGCAGTATTGGACTGTGAACCTGAAACACGTGAATTTGTATTGCTGCACTTTTAGAGTAGTCATGCTACATCTGTGTTATACTATTTCATGAAAGTATATCAAAAGCACATGTAAAAAAACATTCAGAATTAAATATTAATTATCTCCAGAAGCAATTAATAGTTTTGGACTTTCTGCACATTTAGCTGTTATTAACAAATTCAGAACAGGAGAAAAAAATGAGATAAACTTGATGATCCACATTTATCGATTAAATTATGGAATATATTACCTACCAGTAAAGCAGTGTAAATCGATGTGTGCTTATAATATAAAAAAATTAGATCCATAATACGCAATGTATAATCTCATAAAGAGGACAATAAACACAACTAAGGGTAACGTGTTTTGCCAGATGTATCTGTGTTCTTGCCGGCGCGTAAACATTATACATCGGAGGTCAAGAAGGACCCCGTAATGAGGATACTCATTCCGTGTCAACAGAAGATGAGGCAGCCTCCCGCCTCATTATTAATGGACCTCTCACTAATATGGCATCGCCACTCGTTCACCTCAATTTGGAACATCAACGTCAAGCAGACCTTCACATTGCACCGATGGCAGCCACGGGGCATTTGGTTTGTATGATAATCGAGGCTTTAGAAAATAAATGCCTTTTAGCACATCTGGCATCTGCCCCCCCCCCAAGTCTGGGAAAGGTCAGCGCCATTGGTATGCGGTAGACGTGGGATCCGCAGACTTGAGCTCTCACTCTCCACCCTGACACACAGAGCCTGTAAACGCGACAAAGTGGTCACTGAACTTTGAAACGAGCGGCCTTTGTGCAACTTCTACTGTCGGTTTGAAAGGTGCGAGTGCGATTTTATTGGTATAAATATTAAAAGTAATGGCAAGATCAATTCCACCACAGAATCTGAGCCAAAAAGTCTGAGTGTTTTTGTCCTGCTCCAACGAGCGTGGAGGCTGTGCTCGTATCCATTGGAGAACCTGAGTCAGTAGTGGAAATGTCACGTTCCTATGGTAGGGACCTGTTAATCCTCGTAGCCATGACTGTTAACTTCAGACAGCGGCGGCGGTCTGATCAATGTGAATAAATTCGCAACCAGGTTTTGAACTCAGACCATCGGATTGTGAGTTGACCTCTGTATTAGTTCAGAGACTCGTGCATTTAAACACAATTCAGACACTTCAAAAACTTCTTAAAAAGAATATGTAGCCTCATTATTCCACCTTCGCCCAACAGTAAGACAGCTCCAGAATAACCTACATGTCATCTGCTGGGACTGACAAAATAATCCACCAGAAAATGTGGTCTATTATTCAAGCTTTTCAAATCGCCAAGACAAAATGATTACAGACCTGGCCATTTTGGGCTGATATGCACATCGACTCATAAACTCACATAGACTCCCATAGACTCAGATAGAGACTTCACATAATCACAATGACTCACAAAAATCTCACAGAATCAGACGGATTCCCTTAAAACAATGAACTCATACAGAGACCCACTGACTCACATAGAGATCCATAGCCTCACAATGATACATCGACTAACAAAAAACCCAGGGCTATGGCTGCAAACACAGACAAGGTCTATGCTTAATAAGGAGGTATGCATTCCGATTTCACTGTGTTTTTTATTTATTTATTTCAAGTGTTAATTAACCAATTTATGTAAAGTTTAAAGTTTATTTTGTTTAACCAGGTGTGAACTCAAGAGACCAGGATAGAGAGTGACCTGCATCACCAAATTGACAAATGCAAAACAATCGAAATAAAGTACAGCCATGAAGTAAAGAGATATCAGCACAAAAAAACAAGTGGCTGCCATGGTGGTGAGATGTTAACTACCTCGCCTGGTGTACCGAAAGTCGTGGGTTCGATCCTGACCCTGATGCGTGTTTATTTGGAGTTTGGATGTTCTCCCCGTGATCGCATGGAATTTTCTCCGGGTCTTTCAGTTTTTCCCTCCACATTTAGAATCTTATGTGCATTTAGAGCATTTAGCTGCTATACATTTCCACGTGATAAGCCACTTTGTTTAGCTGTCATTTGTGGCCAGGTCGCTTCTGAGAAAGAGCTATGTAGCTCAGTGAGCCTTACATGGTAAAGTGAAACAAAAGTTGAGTTTAAAAAATAGTTTCAGTGAGTAGCGACTGTGAAGCCAAACAAATCGAGCGGGTACCTCCTCTTTGGTCTTGCGGGAGAGCACACGCAGCCAGTCCCCAATCATGCTGAGGATGGCGGCGAAGTAGGCCAGGCCAACGAGGATCCAGAACCAGACGAGCGGCTTGTACCACTCCTTGTACTGCATCTGCAAGTTCCCACCTGGCCATCGTGCAATATCACACGCACAAATGCAGACACACAACGATGAGACTCCCCAGCTCCCAAGTCAACCTAAAGGGCTGTTGGCAGAAGCACTGTGGGGGAAGGGTTAGGCGATAGAATGAGCAGGGAAATACATAACATGGCTGTGGAGCCGAAACTAAACCAAACTTTTTATTTTACCGGATAAGGCTCACTGAGCTATAAATTATTTTTCAGAAGCGACCTGGCCACAAATTATAGCTCAACGAATTGCCTTATCACATGGAAATGTATATCAGCCAAATACTCTAAATGCATCTTTCTAAATGCGGCGGTAAAAACTGGAGGACCCGGAGATAAATCCACGCGACTACGGGAAAAACATGCAAACTCCAATAATACAGGCATCAGGGTCAGAATCGCATCCACGACCTCCTGCATACCAGGCGAGGTACTTAACATCTCGTCACTGTGGCACCCCAGCCAGCATCATACAAAACAAAGCAGCCTGACATTGACCATATCATGGAATTAGTTTTAAGTGAATTGATCGACACCATTCTGCACATTGGTAGAAAGTTTCTGCTCCTGGGAAATATTTTTGTTCATCCCCATTGGTGGTTGTGCTCTAACCCTGCTCCTAACCCCAAACGCCATGGGACACGCTGGCTGTGAAGAACGAACAACGGTGGAATGGGTGAGTAATTTGTGCAAAATCTGCCCCATGTGAATTTCATTCCTCAAAGAACAGCAGCCAACATAGCCACATTAAACAGGTCCAAGTGTTAAGGCGATAGATATATGCTGCATGTGATGGATTTCATCCTTTTGTAGGCAGTTACAATCAGGATGCTACTGCAAACGCAACATGGAAATGCCAGTACCCCAAGTAAAGAGTTAATGTTTTAGAAAAATATTTATCGTGGAATCATGCACGCTACTTAACTTACTCTTCGTAAATATTTATTTAAATACGCTTAGTTATTTCCCATTCTTTTTAATGGACTCCAAAGACACACACGACCAGTAAGTTTTACAGCCAGGAATTTTACGTGGACGGTGACCATGGCATTGCATAAGTTTTCCTTCAGTTTGTACATACCACCGTCTCGGTTTCTACGGCAATGCTGTGCAGCTCTCCGATGCGCTTTCTGGTTGTATACCCGGTGTTGTTCGGTAACAACTCGAACACACATCAGAGAACTATGTTATGTAGATATGTTTACTCTGGAAAATAAAAACACAATGATTCGTTTTACATACCATCGTTCATGCAAATTGCATCTCACAATCGCTGAGGAACCGCAGATACGAGCTGGAAGGCTGCCAGATGGTGGGCCAGCGCCAACAAAAGCTCTGCAGTTCTCTCGATATTAAGATGTTTTCAGCCACTTAGCGAGTGTCTATTATACACGTGGGAGGAAACTGCCGTAGCACTCGGAGAAACCCCGTGCGTTAGAGGGGGAAACAATCAATCCCATCAAAGACGAGATAGATGATGTCAGTCCACACTCTGCTACACTGCATTCTGCTTGTAAGCCAGGGTGTTGACTATAAACAACTGAGCTATGGAGCTATTTCTCAGAAGCGACCTGACCACAAATGATAGCTCAACGAAGTGGCGCATCATGCGGAAGTGTATGGCAGCCAAATACTCTAAACTCGCGAAGTTGGGAGTTTCACAAGATTTGTCATTTTTCAGATCCACCAACTCTCGCTTCCTCCACAATGCTGGATCACAGGCCCCGTGACTAGTCACCACCACCCAGATGGAATCGTTATATATACATGCAAGTCTCGTGAATGTTTCTATAAAAATGCAATATTTACACATTCTCGAAGACATCTTACAATATAACTCGAAAAACAAGTTCACCTTATTGGGTTAACAGTGACTTTGGATATTAGTACAAATTTTTATATTTTAGGCAGGAAATTAGCTTTCAAATTTAGAATGTTTTTCTGGGGGGGACACCCCCAGACCCCCTGGAAGATTTGGATCCCCCCAATGTTGGCTCCATGGCTACGGCCTTGATAAAAAATGATAAAGTTGACAAAAAATAGATGCACAGTTACTTTAACACTCTCACTCGCATCACACACATTGTAAAATTATGAAAATAGTCAGCGTAATCCAAACAAAAACAATGCGTATTTCGTATGACAACAAAATGCCATATTACTCTCACTTTTTCATAACTTAAAGTAAAGCACGTGCAGAGGAGTACTGTGAGTAGCCAATGAGGGATGAGCGTAAGGAAGGCCGAGTGGATGGAGAGCTATGGAGGCCAAGGATGACGGAACGTCACGAGCCACGGAGGGGAAAGCACTTTCCAGAAAGTGGGCGGGGCCGAGCTAAGGGGGAGGAATTACCGAGAGGGTTCCTAAGGGGGACCACGTGAGGGACACGTGGTCGTCGTGGGGAGCCAGGGTGAGGATGGCTGGAAGAGGTCTCTCTCCTCGTCGCGGGGCGGTGTTGGCCGATTCCCCGCCCCGGGGAGAGGGGTGAGAGGGCCGGGGGTAGTTGAAGAGATCCCGATGTATATAGTTATCCCAGGTCCAAGTGAAGGACAGAGTGCATCTACACTGGTGTGAGTGTAGGATTCAGTGTGAGGGCATGTATTAATAAACGGCTGCCAGCCCTTATAGAATTCCCCGTCTCCGCGTGGTTGGACTGCACTACACATGCATCATGGGCATTCAAAATGACCTGGGTGTTGAGGATTATTGAGCGCAAGTCATTGGTTAGATGGATGGACGACCACCACGCACAAACAGGTTGCTATAGGCTGCTATGGGACTGCGTGGTTAGCAGCAGAGGGTGGTGCAGCAAAATACAACGTTGTACTGTACTTCTGTGATCCTGTGGATAAGGTGCCAACCTTCACTGACCCACACTGACCAGCATGTGCAGTATGTGGGGAGGCACAGCATGGGGAGGCCCTTATCCAGCAGTGTTTGACAAATGTGCTGGGCACGAACGTCGGTTAAACAGCAATCAATAGAGAAATCTTTGCTGAAACACGAACAAAGTGACGGCATTAGCGTTCGTGTCATTGTCAATAGATTTTACATCAAACTGAATCCTGTAACAGAAAGCTTCCTGTCCAAGCAAGTGGCAGGTTAGTTTTGGCAGCCACACATAAGTCAATCCACACCACTCGTCTGTCAATGGTATAATATGCTAAGTCCCTAGAGTGTAACATGCTGATGCCAGAGATCTGAATAGGTTTCAAATTACAATGCACAACACAATACAAATAGCATTTGTCAATTTTTTATGGTTCACATATGTTTTGCTTCCAATTAATTTTACACATTTGACGACTCTGTTGACGACTCTGTGGATGACTGTTGACGACTCTGTTGCGGTAGAGTTTTGTAATGGTTCTTGCATAATGCTGCACGACTAAGTGGTGTGCGTATCATTTTCCATCCTGTGCCGTCACAGAAATTACGTTTAAAAAGTTGAGACATCTCAGTTGGTGGAGTGGTTGTCAGGCTCCCCAATAATACCGCCATGAGTTCAACCTGGAGTCAATGTAAATTCAGCCTCGCCTTCCAATTACAGCCCTTCATTGTAACCACTACCATCATCATCGTAACCACTTCATTGTAACTACATTGGAACCACTACCACCATCATCATCATAGTCTATAATCCACAATCAACAACAGGATGGCCGGTTGGTTCAGTGGTTAATGCACTGTGCTGTGAAATTGATAGACCTGTGTTCGATTCCCAGCCATGGCTACCATAAGTGGCGAGTGATATTTGAACCGGTCATGAGCCCACTGTCCCTTCATCAACCTGCACTGAGCAGCACAGTGAAGTATGATAATAAAAGAAAGAAACCCCCAAGTCCACACATGTACTAATGGATCGCAATGATGATTGACGATTATTTTAAAAAAGCTCGTGTGTTTCACGATGGTCATCACAATATGGCCATCACATTAGCATAACAAGTATTTACCTGGGATCCAGAACATTCACTCGCCAGGCGGATGGCTGAGGCCATGTGCTCACGTGCCACGAATACAACACACTTGGGCAGGGATTTTAATGGTAACACAGTCAGTCTCGGACTGGAAAGAGATCTCATGAACCCTTTTGTCCCAAACACAACCACTCGGATAAAACAATATTAACACTGGAACAAGCAGATCAAAGAAACTATGATAAATATGCACATAGAGAAAAACACAATTAATATGAATAAAAGTGATAATGCAATACAGATAACAACTGTGTAAGGAACATGTGTCTGAGATCAAGCAATCAAGTGGATGTTAGTGGTTTAGAGCGACCCTTGTGCTAAGTCATGCAACCTCTTCCATGTGCATTACTACGGTGGTGCAGCGGCTCGCGCGTCACACCCGAAGAACCCAGCAACCTGAGTTTGATTCCTGGCCAAAGCTCTACCAAGTGACGGGTGATATCTAAACGGGTCCTGCACCACCGTTCACCATCCCGCACTGACCAGTGAGATGAAGTATGGTCAAACACCCCCATGACCGACATGGAGTGAGGAGGCCTTCATCCAGCAATGAGTTGACAAAGAAGTTCTCACGCGTACAATTATCTTTATTACGTTTTCAACTATAAAAACGTTATGATGATTATTTTGAATTGCTTTGTACATTTGTTTTTTGTTCGTTTCATGCCTGAATCTAGACACTACAGCGAAGGTTAGTACGAATGCTGTGCGGTGCCATTTTACATAGGGCATTCATTGAGAGTTCTCTTATTACTCACTCGTTAAATAATGTAGTCAACTTTAATTCGCAAGCGTGGCTTAACAGTACACAGTGAGACCGTACCATTATCTTAACACCTGTGGCAATCAGCAGATAGATATTTAAACAAGTTGTGCATGTGCATGCATTGCAACATGCATTTGTCCCTGGAATTATCTATGAGTACAGAAGTCGACGGGGAGTCGTCAGGGGCAGAATGCGTTTTGCGTCTTTACTTCCAGTGTTTTTTGTTCTGGTTTGTGTCTGAAAGTTTTTTCGCGTTGCTTTGATCAATTTCACCAGATTTTATTTATAGGTAAAGTTCCAGCAGCGAGACAACTTTATACTGCAGTTTCAATCACTTTAACAAGCGTTTCGATGCCCCCACCTCCCCCATACCCAATATAGACGGCTGGGCAGGACAGTCAATTCATGAATGCCCTTCATCCTTAATTGCAAAGCACCAAAAATGGCGGGAAATTGATCACTTTCATTCAACTAATGAGAACACAGGCGAGTTTGAAACAAACGTGATTAGCAGACGTAGGGAGGATGGAGAGACAAGAGAATCCAGGCAATTTATGGGAAATCTATGTCAACAACAGCTCCGATTTTCAAACTGCGGTATGTATTTCCTCCCTACATCACTGCACTTCAATTTTGTGGTGTTGATTTAAAACACACAGCAACGGTTATTCAATTGTATAAGTTTAGCTCGCCGAGCGTAACCGAGTAAGGCATTCGATTTAACAACACTCTTTCCTAGTCCTGTGTGGCACTTGTGTGATGTATTGCACTCAACCAAGCTGATTCTGGCAACAATTATGTGCGGGTCACTTCTTCCCAATCAGTGTCGGGCGATCTTTAGTGCCAGCAAATATTTGAACCTGAAATAATGATGATGGGGTGGGGCTGCGGTGCAGTGGTCCTCACTTTGCACTCTGAAATCAGTGATCCGAGTTTGATTCCTGGCCACAGCTGACATCAGTGGCGAGTGATAACTCAAACGGTCCTGGATGCTTCTTCCACCCCCTTCCCCAACCCACACTGACTCTCACGGTGAAATATGGTCAAACAACGCCCAAGACCAACACGGTCCAGGGAGGCTTTCCTCATGCACGCAGACTAACAAAAGGGGTTGTAAGTTATATTGATGATATCCCATATAAGGGCATCGTCATGGTCAAAACCAAAGTGTCTTCCATCTCAAACAAGCAATGAGGTGGAACTGATAAATGTAAAAACTCAAGTTATACATTTGTCACGTGCATGGTTTCTAGACATTCAGAGGCGCAGGAAACCACAGACAAGTGACGGGCAGCCAGAACCCGTGACAACAATTGGCCAAGCTGTGGACCGACATTTTGTGTGCGTGTTTAATTTGATGCCCTTCCCCCGCACCTCCGATTAGCACGGTTGGCTACGTGCGGTGCGAAACAAGTTCAACACGCGCACGTTCACACAATATTTGGCCAACTCCATTAATGTGGGAGGAATTTAGAGCACCTGGAGGGGAACACACTCTATCCCACACAGATAGAGCAGATCCAGTTCATAGTACGCCACGTCAGTGGTGTGGCAGGTCAGTGTCCGCAGGCAGGGAGTTTCGCTAAATTTGTATCATCCGCCAACCCTCACCACCGCAATGCTGGATGATTAAAGACATGCGTCAGAGCATTTTGCACTGCACACACTTTAGGGGTTTTAAATGGAAAATGCTACCCAAGCAATCCTGGAAGCTGTACTAAATAAATGATTGATAACATTTGTACGTGCTATCAAATGTAATACAGCACACTTACACACTGTAATTTGGAAGAAAAAATATATTCCCAAACCATCGTATGTAATAGAAATATCAACCTACCTGCAAACCTTGACAGAGTTAAAATGGTAACTAGAAGCTGGAGCAATTGATTTGATTAAAAAATACTCCTTGTAGTGGAATAATTTAACCCATGTCACAGCGATCCAAAGGGGCCATTTTTCATAAAAACAAGAAGGAAATGTAATGTTCTCACAGTGCAGAGGAAATTACTGTGAACGGTAGGTTCTATCATATGGCAAGGCTTTCTAAGCAATAAACACACACAACGTACTTTGCGCTGTGTAAACTAGAAAGAACACTTGTTACTTGCCTGTTTTTGTTGTTGCTGTTGTTGTATTTACTCAAGAACACATCAGAATGTTTGGTGCAGGAAATAATATGCTACAGTGTGGTAGAAGTACAAAAATAATACATGAAGAGATGTTGATGACTTGGGTAGGCCTTCATTCAGCAGTGGATAGAGTGTGGCTGGCAATAATAATAAGGATGATGATGACTAAACACATTGAAGCATTTACTCTGACTGCTTGATGAATACATAAATACATTTACATTATTATTACATCTGATCACTTCAACTCTGCAAATAAACAAATGACCTCAAATGCACCAACAACTCATTGGATGCTACAATATCAGCAGAAGGCAGTACAGCAAAAATGTCTGTACTGTATCATGCTCCATCATCTATGCCACCAGCCTTGACCAGCGTCGTGAAGTATGCTCAAATAACCCCCAAGACCCACATGGTATGGGGAGGTACTTTCAATTTGCACAGTTGACTACATATGGTGTAAAGGAAATTCAACATGCATACAGACTCGAGAGGCATTAAGCAGTCTGCAGACATTCAACGACCAAACATTTCATTATTCTCCGGCACTTTCATTGCACACTCCTTAAAGTGTTCTATTTAATTTAATAAGGTTGTGGCTCATGCTGCAAGTCACATTTATTTAGACCATAAGGGTTCTATTTTAAGAGCATATTTGAAAACCAACCTCTATTTGATGAGTTTGGGGTTTCTGGAGAAAAGGTTGTGGAACACATGTTTCATGTTCTATTGGTTAACGTGGTAATGCCCACTTTGAAAGCGATTTAGGTAAATTGGTCATTTCCCACAAATTCTGAGCTCTTGGTGGGCAATTTAAAACTATGGTCGAACAAGACTGAGTTCAGTGGCGGGCACACTGACCGCAAGACCACCCAGGCACCAAAGAGAGAGATGGGAAATTCTCACTTTCTGTCCATGACCCAATAACCCAGAATGCACCCAATCTCAGCATATCTCAGAAGCCAAGCAGGACGTAACCTGAATATTTAATCTGACCGTCACTGATCAGCGTGGTGAGGTATGATCCAATCACGCTCACAACTTGCTCAACATGAGGAGGCCCTCATCCAGCAGTGGACTGACAGAGGACTGTGCATATAAACATGAGTGCCTACTTCGTTAACCCTAAACGTATGAAATTATTTAAATTTGGCTCCCAAACAATTGTACAATAACATTGGAAATTTTTTAATAATTATTTTCGCTGACTATTAATACTGCACCTCCCATGCAGTACACTTTGAGGCACCCTGGCGGTGGCTGCACCTGTGTAGCACAAGGTCAACCAGGTCAACACAAGGTCAACAAGGTCAACACTAGGTCACCACAGCGCTGGCCAGCAAAGCGGGAATTGGTCTGTAAGTAGGGAGATGATGCTGCGAAGTGGTTACACGCCAGCATATGTGCCCCTACCCTCTTTCGAATAACGTCACCTGATCTTCAATAACGTGACGTGATCTTTAACAACGTGACGTGACCTTTAACAACTTCATGTGATCTTTAACAACGCAAAATCATTCTTAATGTCACGTGATCTTTAATAACGTCCACTGTAAAGCAGACGGCGAGCGTATTTTATGGCGGCCACCACCACCACCACACCCGCAGCGTTAACCAAGCGTGGCCGGTGGAATGGAACCGCGAACACCTCCGGCAACGAGCGCGAGCCGTGCCACCCGCCAGGTCGCGTCCATGCTCTCACCCGCCACGTAGTCCCCAAAGCCGATGGTGGTGAGGGTGACCACCACAAAGTAAATGGCTTCGAGTGTCGTCCAGCCCTCCACGTGCATGAAGATCACGGTGGGGATGACCACGAAGAAGAGGCAGCCGGCCAGCAGAAATAGCACCGTTGATATGACGCGGAACTTGGTCTGGCTCAGGTGCTTGTGCTGCGCCGTGCAGCAATGGGGGTGGGGGTGGAGACACACACAGAGAGATCATGAACAGAGATAGGCGGAGCACTACCATTACAGTGATGTGGCGTGGTGGTAATTACAACCACTACTACAACGAGCTATAAACGGAACGATAAATACAATGCCTGGTAAGTGCGATCTACAGGGTTAGGCCGTGCGTTGTGCGTTTCTTCTCTCAAGATTTTCCCACCACGCACCACGGCTGTGGCCATTTTCAGGAGGCATAATTTCCAACTGCTGAAGATCCCTGCAGTGCTGAAAAACAAAGCAAGAAGCAATGGTGCAGCCCTCATCTCTAGAGAAGTCTGCACAGAACAATGACCATAGACCGTATCCTAAACCACTGCCCCAAGCGATCGTTCAATGGAGAAACGAAGGAGCAAAACACAGGATCTACAAATGTCATCAACGGATGTAAATATCCCAATAGGTATTTGACTTTTTACGCGAGAAGAACGATGATCTGCTCACTTCCTGCAACGGTATATGGAAGAGAAAACATCGCCGTCTTCATCGACGCGGTGTTCCTCTTCCACCGTCTCGCTTGCGAGAATTATAATCGGCCCTCCATTTGCCCCAAGTGTCAAGGAGTTCGAAACATTTTCATAAAACGATCACGCTTGGCGATGTTTCGCGACATTCCATATCGATTGTTGTCATTTGGGAGGATGCGTTATAAAACACGTGACAAATGTCTTCACGTTGGCGTGCCCTGTACGAATTCCCAACAAATGGAACACACCATTAACATCACGGTTTTCATGAATTTTTTACTTCGGAAAACGATTGTGTAACTATGTAAGCTATTTAGATTTTTAACAAGTAAGGCCCACTGAGCTACACAGCTCTTTTTCAGAAGCGACCTGGTGACAGATTGCAGCACAACGAAGGTGGCTCATGAAGATGTAGAGCAGCCGGACGCATCTTGCCACCACGGTGCCCCGCTCATCAGCAGTGCACTCATCAGCAGTGCGCTCATCAGCAGTGCACTCATCAGCAGTGCGCTCATCAGCAGTGCGCTCATCAGCAGTGCGCTCATCAGCAGTGCGCTCATCAGCAGTGCGGTCATCAGCAGTGCGCTCATCAGCAGTGCACTCATTAGCAGTGCACTCATCAGGCTCACGATGATGCCTGTGCGAGTGGCTAGCACCGTGCAGCGTTTTCAGAATTTCAAATTCCCATTGTCGACTGTGGCTAAAACAGTTAATTGAATGACTGATCGCATGCCTTTAAATTCACATTAATTCTAATGACCACACCTGCTTATAGAAACCTAAAAATCCCTCACCAGATTGCCAGTTTGGGACATCTCGTGTTGGACAGATGTCTGTAGCTTCTGAGGGCTTAACAATCCCTCTCCTCCCTGCTTATCCTCCCTTACCAGGCTTTATCCACTGCAAGAGGTAGATTTAGTTGTTGTACTTTCCCATAAGTCTGCACTTTGCGCTGTTATATAAAGTAAAGGTGCAGTCCTGCAATTCCTTGCTCACTCCACTGCTGGCAGAACGGCATCCACTCGAGGCAGCTTTAGAGAGGCCCTCTATCGGGCATAAGGTATGTGGCCTAGTCTTCCACAATGGCCAACTGTCGAGTAAGCTGTGAGAGTAACCACACTTGCATCTCACTGCACGCAATCTGCAGAATAACTAACTGCAGTGAACCTAATTATATTCCAATTATACTGCTGGATGGACAGATGCAGGGGGATTTTAAACATTTGCCCGGTTCTTCAGCTGCCACACGACAATATGAATTTATTTTAAAAAATGTATGATAAGATGCGTTTAGAGTTTCATTAGTATGTGTTCAAGGTTCTGAAAAAGGAGAGGCATCTTGAACGGTCAAAACTCGTTTTAAACACCATCTATTTATATTTAAAAATCACTTTCATTATTTGCACCGGAAGACCTGGAACGTGATTTTTTTTTGGAAAATACAAAACTCAACTGCCCAACAACAACAACAGCACGTTTAGAGCGCTAATTGTTACCAGACAGTGGAAGGAAACGTATAAATAATAGTGGCCACCCTGTGCGCTGTTAGAATGTTAAGTAGAGCGGTAATTTGGTAATTTGGCTAAGGTGTCTTGGATTGTCTGGAATGCACAATGGAATACTGCCCGAGGTTTGAACGTCTATGACACCAATTTATAACCAGTTTATATATAGCTTGGCTTGAGCACAAATATTGATTCCAATCTACAAATAGCATCATCCCAGTGCTATGTAATTTTGTTGTTGCTTTTAACTTTGAAGGTACATCTATTTGCAAAGTGCTGTTATTCGGTAATGTGTATTACTGGCTGTCTATGGTTACATGGCTTATTCAAATTCCCTTTAGCAAAGACCATGAGGAATTTAAATACTGATCTCGTATAATCTTCTTCAATGTGCCCAACACGTATCATTTTAAAACAGAACAGTAGAGGCCTTTTTTTGTTTCACACTGTGGAATGTAAATTAAGCTGCCATGAATGACACTCCTTTGACTTTATACCCACAGGGATATTTGCAAAAATAACTTTTTTATTTGATAGCGGCTGGCTGGTAAAATGTGCCAAAAAAGTCCAGATTAACACAATTTCCCAAACCATGCATACAAAATGTAGAAAAGTTGAGGAAAACAACAACAAGACAGCCCTAATTATACACAAAGTCCCCTTTCGCCTGAATAAACCAATTTTCAAATTTTTTCATGATTTTTTTTTACCAACAAAGTTTTTTCTTTTATAAATAATGCCAGCTGAAATTCACACTCAATTTGAATAATACCAATGTTGCTGTGTTGGAAATTTGTTATTCCACATTGTCAATGCCTATTGTTGTTCATGTTCTTTTAATCTGTATTCATGTTTTCAGAAGTATTTTCAAAAAAAATAATAGTACTAAAAATGCATTTGATGAAAGTGCCATGTTTTCAATATTATTGCAAATATTCAGTCTTGTAAATGCGAGAGACATATCCTCCATAAACTGAACAAAACTCATATTGTACCCACGAAGTGTTCCAAGATTATACAGTGACACAAGGAGATTTTTACGGACACTGTGTGACTCTAACATATCACTGCAAACACTTGCACACAACAACCCGACTCTTGCCATATGCCAAAGTAGGTCAAGAGTACGAGCGTACGACAAGATCCTGCAAATTACTCGACTGGGATTACACGGAGCGACATCGTCCCCCGAGTGAGAAAATCTGACAGAACCCTCCTTGAGAAAAATAGTCTCGAGACTCGTTGAGACTTTCATGGTATGGCGATGAAAAATTATTATAATCGAGCATTATCTGCACACCCACTAAAGATCTCGATAGTCACCCACCAGCAACTTGCTTCAAAGTTGCCGAGACCATTTTGTGAAGCTCCGACGAGGAACGCCACCTTACAGCAGTAGCGGCTTTTGGCTGCTGGCCATCGAACAAAGATGGTCACCGCATCGTGTGCTTTCACATGCGCTTCTGCGGCCGTCTGGAACGCTCTTCCTTCCGATATTAGGAAGCCACTGGAGCTATCTATATTGAAAACTAATTTCTGAAGAACTACTTTTTGTGTTCAGTTTGTTGTCGTTCCACAGCACCCCCGATTATCACGGTTGGTTACATACGGCGCGAAAGAAGTTCAACACACGTACGTATTGACATACGCAGAAGAGATGCGGGGAAGTTTACCGAGTGGACATTGAGGTGAGAATAAGAGCCCCAGAGGAGAGCCGATGCTGGAGCCTCGCGGCTCCGCACCCCTCGGCCACAGCGCACGTTTACATGTACACATGCCAACATTATATGATTTGCTCTGTCGGTTTGAGAAGGCATCTTCAACCACACAAATTTGGCCAGATCATTGTGTGACCGAAAGCAAAAATCTATCAGGAAGCAGTGGAACTTGTATCGAAAATCCGTCCACTCCAGCGATTCCCTAGAAATATCTCTGAAATTCACTCCACATCTGCTGAAGAAGCTCGACTGGATATCAAAACTTAAAACGTCATCAGTATATTGTGCTGAAAAAATAACTGCACTGTAACGTGTGCATATACAGCACCCACTGCCATTATCTTACAGCAAGAAGTGACACGCAGATGTTTTAATGCCCTAATTAACTGAAATAACTATGATACACTGTATTCATGATTGCGTGCTTAATTCGGAATTAAAATGGATCCAATTTTTACAAAAAAATCTGATTACATTTTTTTACAGTAAATACATTAGTGCAATATAGATCCTCCAGTATCAATACATATTCTGATTCTGTTTTATAGATCCTTAAGTAAAACAATCCAAGGCAGTCTCCATGGCAGATTAAAATATATGTACGCCATGTTGAATTACAATGGTATCTCGTTGGATTCCTCTTGGAAGCATTATAGTTTATTTATTCTTAACAGAATAAATACACGTTATTATATTTGTACACAAGTTCGACATCTCATTATGAATTAATTTTACAGTAATAGGTAAAGGTGCAACCCTGCAATTACTTGATCACGCCACTGCTGACAGAAGGACCTCCACTGGAGGTACTCGCACACTTTGTGCCGCGTGAACAGAGGCTAGGAGATTCTGGAACACTTTTCCTTCTGATGTTAGGAAGCCACTGGAGATAAGCAATGTACATACGTACATTTGCATAATTGTTTAAATTGCCACACCGAGAGATTGAAGCAATGGTCTCTGGATTGCAATCCCACTGTACCCATAATTGTCAACACGCATCTTAAACACAATAACAAATAACATAAACACAATAACACAAACACAATAACGTAATAACATAAACACAATGACATAAAGCCATAAACCCCCCGCCCCCCCCCCTAAAACAATTTGCCAGCTGTAAAAAAACCATGCCCCCCGTTAACTGTTTTTCAAGCCACTGCACGATCAACTTATAAAGTATGAGACATGTGCTCTCGTGCCTCCTAATGCATTCATTCAGCTCCCAGGAGAATATTAAGTACATCCCAGTG